AGCTAAACGCTTTGAATATGATCCATTGATTTATTGCTACAGACCTGTTTCGTATGGTTTGACCCACACTCATCAGGCAATTTACAATGAATGACCGTTAAATATCYTATGCTGATAATTAATTTGAAAGAAAATGGTTGCTAGGTTACATTTATCAGGTTACATAGAAGTTTTTAAGTGTGTATTTATTTCTGTGGGGACATGGGCTTGGGAGTTCATTACGTTTGTTTAGCGAAGATAGGTGTTTCTTACAGATGATTATAAACTTTTCGTTCAAGTAAAAATTACATTTTTTGTTCTCATTGTTATATGGTTGGCTTTTTTGATTATTTTCCACGTCAGGTTGAATTTTAAAATAAGGATATAATTATTATATATATTTTATAAGGATAAAATTACATATTTTCGTTAAAAAAAAATTTTATTTTCGAAAAAATAGAGTCATTGACATCAAAATTTGTTTTCTTTTGTAATGTCCTTGAACCCCTTATGCATAGAACAGCTGATCGCAATAGATTAGAGTCGTTTTCGTATGAGTGGGAAACCGATGCTGACGCGATACCGCTACGGTACGGCTACGATACAGATTCCTTCGATCCTTTCTTAAGTTAATCGCAAGAAATGATGATAATCACAACGAAAAAAAGGCTAATTTTCCCAACAAAACATTTAAGTGGTATTGTCAAGCAAGCAGTACAAAAAAATTCAAGTAATGCTTGAAAATTACCGACAAAACATGTCACGCGCGAGTGAATACGGAAAGTTTGACAAACTAAAAACTTTCACAMAATGAATTGCAAATATTCTCCCTGCTTAAAAGTGCTCAAATAAATACAAACAAAAGCTAATTCAACTGGTTTATTTATCAAAAAGATCATTTTATCAAGCTGGCATCAAGATACCAAGACTACACTTTCTCAACAAATCGACACTGAGGTCTCGAAATGCCGAAAAAATAGAGGAATATTGATATAATAATCTTCAAATCTCAACATCTGCCAGTCATTT